GGATGTTGCATCGCTGCCAAGTCTTTTGCCCTTTCGTAGTGAGTGATTTTCGTGTGCAAGTTCGGTACTAGTCCCCCTGATTTTCCACGTGTATATAATCTTGTATTTTCTCCCGCCTGCATTCCAGGAATACAGGTTTAGGAACCTCAAGCGCTCCCAGTAATTGAGGTGTTTTATCTCCGTTATGCGCGCCCTGAAGGTTCTCTGTAATTTTCTAGGTCAGCAATTTCACCTGCCTTGAAAGGTTCTGTTAGTGTGCAGCAATATTTCCCGCCTAGATAGAACAAGTGACCTGAAGAGTGTCATATGGGCTTGGCCTCCTAGTTTTTAAGGTTCTCATTATCCATCCTGTCATTTTTTCTAGCAGATGCATTGAAAAATGTTAGGGTCCTTGAAGGGAGACCCCGACATGACACCCCAGTCTTTGACGTTGGGTTTTCGCTCATTTTGGGGCCAGAATTTTTTGTCTCTGATGAAGATTTAATTTCCTCTTTGTTTACCATATCTGAGTAATTGAAATTTCTCATCGTTGAACTTCATTTTGTTTTCTGCAGCCCACTGAAAGATTTGGTTGATGTCCGCCTGGAGCCTTGCAGTGTCTGAAAATGGAAGACCCCGTCATGCAGATTCGGGTGTCCATCTGCAAAGGAAGACACGGTGCTGTGGCTGACATCCTTGTCTATATCGGATTTGAGGATGAGGAACAAGATGGGAGCGAGTACTGTGCCTTGTGGAACAGAGCTTTTCACTGTAGTTTGCCTCGGACTTTACTCTGTTGACGACTACTCCTGTGTTCTGTTAGTGAGGAAATTATAGATCCATCGACCGACTTTTCCTGTTATTCCTTTAGCACGCTTTTTGTGCGCTATTACGCCATGTCACACTTTTTCGAAGGCTTTTGCAAAGTCTGTATATATTACATCTGCTTTCTTTTTGTCTTCTATTGCATTTAGGACCTTGTAGTAGGGGATCAAATAGTTGAGACAGACAGGAGCGACCTGTTCTAAACCCATGTGCCCTGGGTTGTGTAATGATGGGTTTCTAGATGGGTGGTGATCTTGCTTCTTAGGACCCTTTCAAAGATTTTTATGATAATGGGATGTTAGTGCTATCGGTCTGTAGTTCTTTGCTGTTGCTTTACTGCCCCCTTTGTGGAGTGGGGCTATGTCTGTTGTTTTTTAGTAACTGGGGGACGACCCCCGTGTCCATGCCCCCTGTCCATAGAATGGAAAAGGCTCGTGATGGGGGCTTCTTGCAGTTCTTGATGAACACGGAGTTCCATGAGTCTGGCCCTGGGGCAGAGTGCATGGGCATGCATTTATCGCCTGTTCGAAGTCTTTGGCGTCAGGATAACATGGGATAGGCTTGTGTTAACCAAATTCCCTGTGGCTCTCTCATAAAAAATTCATTTTGATCTTCGACCTCTCAGTCTGGTTAGCGGCTTGCTAAAAACTGAGTCATATTGGGTTTTGAGTAGCTCACTCATTTCCTTGCTGTCATCTGTGTAGGACCCATCTTGTTTAAGTAGGGGCCCAATACGGGACATTGTTCTCGACTTGATTTGGCATAGAAAAAATACTTTGGTTTCCTTTCGATTTCATTTATGGTTTTATTTTCTTCCCGCGATTCCTGACTCCTATAAGATTCCTTTTGCTTAAGTTCGATGCTTGCTATTTCTCTGACCAGTGTCTCCCTACGCAATTTCAGATATATTTACCTCTTTTAGCCGCTTGTTTTTTTCTTTTTCCGTCGCCTGTAAAGGGAGCGCCTGTCTCTTTCTATTTTTACATATTACTCCTCCTTTTTCTTAGAGGAAATAAGCCTTGTGCATACATCGAGTGCCACCAAGTTAATCTGTTCTAGGCATAAGTTGGGTCTGTGTTGCTTAGTATATCTTCCAGCTTTATCGGTTAGGAAATTTTGGGTTTTCTTGGTCCCACTTTATGTTTTTGTTATTGAAGTTTAATTTGGTGAATGCTCCCTCGTGACTAGTCTCATTATGTCGGTTTGGGACTCTACGCATTCATGTCTGAACCTCAATTATGTTGTGATCTGATATATTGTTTTTGATATGGTGACATTTCTTATCAGATCATCATTGTTAGTGAAGATGAGGTCTAGTGTATTCTCCAGTCTAGTAGCTCTATTATTTGCTGGTTTAAATTGAATTTTGTGCAGGGGATTTAAAAGCTCGTGGAGTGTGAGTTTTCATCAAAGTTGCCTCCTGGTGTTATTACTGCAACAAATTATTTGCTGTATTCCTCATTTTAGGTGCCTTAAGTTTAAATCCCAGGAGCAAGATGTTGGGTGCAGGAGCTGGAAGATTTTCCAGACAGTGGTCAATTTTTAACAGCTGTTCCCGGGAATTGCTGGGATGTTGCATCCGGAGGCTTGTAGACTACCACAATGACTAGGTTTTTGGTTCTCGCCCTTTACTGCTAAAACTTCCACTACATCATTTGAGGCATTAAGCAGTTCTGTGCAAACAAGTGACTGCAATGTACAGGCCAACCCCCCCCCCCCTTTTGCCTGTTCACTCTGTCACATCTGTATAGGTTGTAACCTGGGATCCATATTTCGTTGTCCAAGTGATCCTTTACGTGGGTCTCAGTGAAAGCCGCGAACATTGCCTTTGCCTCTGCAAGCAGTCCACGAATGAAAGGTATTTTGTTGTTGCTGGCTTTAGACCCTGTATATTTGCAAATAAGAATGTCATCGGACTGGTGGTATTGTTGGTACTGGGGGGGGGAGATTTTTTTTCCGGCATTAGTATCTGTATCTGTTGGTTTGGAGTGGAGGCCATCGACTGTGGTTCCACTCCAGAATGACTGGGGTTTGGTGTACGATTTCTGCCATTTCCTGCCAGTTTTTTTTTTTTCCTTCCTGGCACTAAAAAACCTCTCCCTCTTGAGTGGCTGTGGCTACCCAGGTTTTCTCATGGCCTGGATGTTTTGTATCTTTTTGTCCCCTTTAGATGGTGTGCCTGGCAATTTAAGTTATAGCACAGTCTTTCCTGTACTGAAGAGGTACACATTTCAGGGTGAAAAAGCTTACAGGAAGGGAGTTTGCATTTTCCTGTTGTCATATGGGCATGGCATTTTCTAGGGTGGTCATAGTTGCACGTCCCGTATGTTTTTCCAGATTTCCCATGTCTGTAGATACCAAGTGGAGTCACCAAGACACCCGTTCTCAATTAGAGATTGCAATTTAATCTGAATTGCGAACAAAAATTGTAGGGTACTGAAATAGGTCCACGGCCACCCATGGACCTGTCTATTTTTAAAGCTACCCAAAGTTCTCGCTTCATTTACGCTACTTAGGGATTTGTTCCTCTCATCCACAATTCTATTGCCAGATCAGTTTCTATAACCCTTCTAAATGTTAATTTTTCCCACTTGAAACCATTGCTACGAATCTTGTCTGCATATTTTCAGAACGTTTTTATATATAACTCCTTCATTTCTGTTTCTCATTTGTGCAATTCGATAATAACCCCCTAATCCTACGCCTTTCCAAAGTGTAGATTCAGCACCTTCATCCAATCAATCTGGTCACCATTCAGTGTTTTTCAGCGCATAATATGCCCATTATGTATTGTGGAGACCAGAACTGAGCAGCATAATCTAAATGAGGCTTTACTAAGGATATATAAATTTGAAGTATAACCTAACAACTTTTATTAGTTATAGTTCCTGACATGAAACCAAGAATTTTATTATCCTTATTGTGAACACTTATGCACTGTTGTATGGGTATAGCGCTGAAGTTTACTTGTAACCGGAACTCTTGTCTTTTTCTCATTCATTTTGATTGAGATCTACATTATATGGTAAAGAGATGCAAGGTCTTATAATAGAACGTGTGTTTTCTCCCGAACGCTGAAAATGGAGGATGGGCTGCTTCGTGTGGTAGGGAGAATGAGGTGGAAGGGTGGAGGAAGGTTGTTGGTGGTAAACAGGGTGGGTGGGATATCAACCCAGGAAGTGCGTGTGACCATTATTATTTTAAATTTTATATTATTAATCTTTTTAGGGAAAGTAGTAAACCCGAAAGGGTCATACAGCGCTTGGGGAATGGGAGGCAATCAGGTTCGTTCTAAGGAAGGGGAACAAAGTCCCAATCCTTGAATCAAGAGTCTCTCGCCAGCATCAAGGAACTTCCCCTGGGGTGATTCACCCTAGAACCCACACATAGAAGAACCTTATAACAATGTTTCGGCCCGTCCTGAACCGCTGTTAAGTCACAACCACCCCAGCTGTGATTTGACAATGGTCCAGGAGAGACTGAAGCCTCGTCATGAGGCTTCTGAGTGAGGGATTTGGATGAATTGCTCTAGCCACGTTACTGTGACTATTCTGCTTTTAAGGGAGTGCGTGTTACCAGCTATTTCAAGACAGTATTACTTAATTTTGCCATTTTGCACTAGTTAACCTTTTTTTTCCTCTCCTTTGTTCTTTCCACTCACCATCTTTCAGGGTCCTTCTTCATCTTACAGAAATATTCTAAAACATAGCTTTTATACTCATTGTGTAATTATCATACATAATAGTACATGCAAACCGTTCAGAAAATACATGTGATATCATATACTCAAGATAGCATATTGAAAGGCAGATTCTCTTTGTCCATTTAACCAAAACACAGAGAACTTCTAGATTGTTTTCAGATTACTCTGCATAAAAGGTACTGTGGTCTTGATAAAACAAAATTACAATGAAAATCTGCTTTCTAATTATTAAATAGTATAGTAACATAATGAAGGAACAAGGCAGTAGTCATATTGGACCATGCTAGGCCTCGGATGTTGACCATGCAAAACAAACAGTTTCAACATCTAAATTTTAATAACCTAGTAATTTGAATTGAAAGGATCATTAAACTTGATGTATGTACATACTTCTCGGTAAAGGTCAAAGATGGTGCGACAAGTATGTAACGAAGACATGTGCAGCACTAGGATATATTTATTAAGGAAACGTTTTCCTCATAGGGAGCTTTGCGTCAGTCCGGAGTATGCCTAATAAGCGGGAAGATTGCAGTAAGGTGTAGAGGGCGTGGGCAGTCATAGTTAGAGAGAAGTGTTATGAATCAACTGAGGCCACTTGATCGTCGTGATCTGGTAGAGCAGTGTCAGTTTAGCAACGATCCCGGACATGCTAAAGCTGCCAGTGTTCTGAACGAATGTATGTATTTCAAATTTTACAGACCTCTATTTATATTCTCCATGAACTGTTTTATTTTCCTGCTTGTTTAATAGTTGTTCTTCCTGTAATATTTCCTTTCCAATTTGAAGCCTTGCCTGAGATTGGGCGTGGCAGCAATGATCCCCGGAGCCATTAACATCACACAGTATTAAAATAAAACAAGGTTTACCGCGTTTTGCGATAATAATAATAATAATAATAATAATATACTCTCCACTGATAAAAAATCGGACTCAAAGTGATCAGACCACTTAACTTATCTTTCTTCCTGTTTACTCGCATCTATATTCACAGCTTTGTTCTACTATCCTAGCCGTCCTTACTTTTCCCATTCTTTCCATCTCTTTTATAGCCTAGCAAAAAACTAATAGGTTAATAATTTATTTTAAGAGCAGGTGAGGTGAGTGTGAGCCAGGGAGAGGATGGACTGGTACAGCCTGTACAGTGAGTGTCCCAGGATGGTGTTTGGTCTCACCGTGGGCGTCGGTTTTCTTCTTTACTACTACATAGAGGCCGTCAAGGTCAGTCATTCAACATTACTTCGTCATAAAATCATTCAGTTTTTTGCCACCTCCCTCTTGATTTTATATTTATTCTAGCCTTGATCTTGGGCTTGAGATGTCCTGTGTATTGGGTACATTTTATGTTAATCCCGTTATGACAAACGAATCAACGGGAAGAGACAAAAAAAAAAAAAAAAAAAAAAAAAGCTATAAATTTGGGTCTCATACTGAGGCCCTCTTAACCAGATGATCTTAATGCAAGGTCGAAATATACAATACTATTTTCTTTTTGGTCTCCGTGGGAGTTTGTCCCATACATAGTTTGTGTTTATTGAATTTGATAACTAAATGTTCATAGAACTATCCATGACCAAAGACAGCACCACCCCCACCATGAACTCGAGGCATTTCTCACAATAGAAGAAAGAGACGGCTAGGGTAGGATATGGAAATATTTTGTCATTTTTGACAGTGGGTAGATGATAGTGATGATCGGTTCAAGTGGCCCATCCTGTTGTGTTAAGGTTGGTAGTGAATTTGTTTGGCCTCGCGAGTGTGAAGATGTGCATGTCACGGTGACTTATAGCACCAATAACCGTTTGTCTGCTACTATAATTATTTTTCAACGCTTATTCTAACAGTGATCTGTAGATTGAGTTATACTTCTAAGTAATGTGTATTTATAAGATGTATACACATTTTACAGGTTGGTTTATCATTTTCATTGTAATCAAAGAATTCACATATTAATATTTTGTCTTGCTTCATTATTTTGTATTTTTTTATAATTATATCCGCTACACTGTTTTATCCGCTGCGTAAAGTTGTAGAATAAATTATTATAAACGAATTGATAACACATTAACTAAGGTGATAGTAGAGAATGAGGCAATAGTGATGACGTCAGTGGTACCTTGCCTTGCCTGGTGGCCGGTTATACATGCCGTAGTGAACACTGGGTATATATACACGTGTATGTGTGTGTACTCATCTATTTGTGGTTGCAGGGGTCGATTCACAGCTCCCGGCCCCGCCTCTTCGCTGGCCACTAGTGTGTGTGTGTGTTATGTATGTATGTATATGTATGTATGTATGTGCTCTCTCTGGGGTTTGTGTTTCCTTGGGGGGGGGGGGGGTGTTGAGACTCGGTTCCTGGCACCGTGTTCTAGACCACTTTGATCGGCTTCACTGATTTCTGGTCTCTCAAAGCCTAATCATATCTACTCTTGAAGCTGCGTGATGAGTTTACATCTAAAGAAATATTTCCTTAAATCACTATCCCTTTATATTTGTGCTTTATATCTGGATCTATCCAACATGACTTATTTGGCAACATACATTTTCCTTAAGCCGAGCGTATATTATTATTTCTTAAAGAAAATTCGGCTTCGACATTTAAACGAATGGCATATACTCTGAAAGTTTAATATCCTATTGTGGAGGTTCAAGTGTTCTCCGAGGGTGAATTGTGGACTTGAAAGGTTAATTAATGACCCGTGTACAATTGATAAGTTTTAAACCTAGCAAACTATAGTGGTTCTGTTTGTATTGGGAAAGATATTGTAGGATTTTCAGAAAACTGGTCCTGAAAGGCTATTTAGAGCTGCTTTACTGGGGATGTTGACCTCTGGCGAAACTTCGCATTTTTTTTTCTCGTACTCATTTTACGTATATGAAGTAACTCTAGATCAGAGGTGTATAATACCGATAAGTTGACGAATAAGACAAGTGTGCGACAGCTTTCTGGGGAAGTGTTGTAATCACAGTTTGGGCGGATATATTCTTCCACGAGAGTATTAGTCACAGAACTATTATTTCCCGTCTGCCTGATGCACCTCATCTTGTTGCCTCAATGGCTGACATTATAGTGACCTCCGTTCACTTTATAATGTCAGCAAAGTGACACAAGTGACCTCCGGTCACTTTTTGTCAGAAAATGGCTTACATATCGTCTTGCAATTTTTTGAAGTTACTAGGTAGTCCTGTGAACATGTTTTGCCTCGTATTAAGATACTCGGCAGATATCCTTGCACCTGTTGCCCTTGTTCACCTAGCAGTAAATACGTAGATACCTAGGTGACAATCGACTGTTGTTAAGTCGGGTCCTTGGGAGAAAACCTCAACATCTCAACGGAAATAAGTCATACTGGCTTATTCTTGGTTATCCTTGGTTATTTCTCCATACTCTGTATGACCACTGAGAATTTAAAGTCCAGGTGAATTAGGGCCTGATCAACCAGGCTGTTACTGCTGGCAGCACCCAGTCCAACTTACGATCCACAGCCCAGCCCAGCCTCTCCAGTTCCCTCTTAAGAACATAAGAACGAAGGAACACTGCAGAAGGCCTACTGGCCCATGCGAGGCAGGTCCAAGTCTCCTACCGGCTTAAGCCAATGCACCCAACCTAGTCATTTCAGGTCATATTGACTTAAGGGAGGAACACGGCAACCGACCTGGTAGCACAAGCTATCAGTTCCAACTCACACCCACCCACATCCACTCATGTATTTATCCAGCCTATTTTTAAAGCTACACAACGTTCTGGCCTCTATAACTGTACTCGGGAGTTTGTTCCACTCATCCACAACTCTATTACCAAACCAGTACTTTCCTATATCCTTCCTGAATCTGAATTTTTCCAACTTAAAACCATTGCTGCGAGTCCTGTCTAGGCTAGATATTTTCAGCACTATTTACATCCCCTTTATTGATTCCTGTCTTCCATTTATACACCTCAATCATATCCCCCCTAATTTTACGTCTTTCTAGAGAGTGCAGATTCAGGGCCCTTAGTCTATCCTCACAGGGAAGGTTTCTGATACATGGGATCAACTTTGTCATCCTCCTTTGTACATTTTCCAGAGAATTTATATCCATTCTGTAATACGGTGACCAAAACTGTGCAGCATAATCTAAATGAGGCCTAACCAAGGATGTATAGAGTTGAAGAACAACCTGAGGACTCCTATTATTTATGCTTCTTGATATGAAGCCAAGGATTCTATTAGCTTTATTGCGAACACTTATGCACTGTTGTCTTGGTTTCAGATTACTGCTAACCAGAACTCCTAAATCTTTTTCGCAATCCGTAATATTAAGATCTACATTATTTAGTTTATATGTGGCATGGTTATTGTCCTGTCCAACATTTAGAACTTTGCATTTGTCTATATTAAACTGCATCTGCCACTTCTCCGACCACTGCATCAGCCTATTCAAATCTTCCTGGAGTGCTCTAATGTCCTCGTCAGAATGAATTCGACGGCCTATTTTGGTGTCATCGGCAAACTTGCCGATGTCGCTCTTTATGCCCTCATCTATGTCGTTTATGTAGATTGTGAACAGCAGGGGGCCCAACACTGACCCCTGTGGAACACCGCTCGTGACGCTTCCCCACTCTGATTTCTCCCCATTTATGCAAACTCTCTGCTGCCTATTTGTCAACCATGCCTCTATCCAGGAAAAAATTTCTCCTATTCCATGTGCCTTAATTTTCCTCAATAGTCTCTGATGTGGGACCCCGTCAAAAGCCTTACTGAAGTCCATATACACAATATCATATTCATTACCATGATCTACCTCCTCAAATACCTTAGTGAAAAAAGTTAATAAATTCGTAAGGCAGGAACGCCCCTTCGTAAAACCATGCTGAGATTCGTTGATTAATTTATGCTTTTCAAGGTGGCTACGAACTGCCTCGGCAATTATTGATTCCATAAATTTTCCCACTATGGAGGTTAGGCTTATTGGTCTATAGTTCGAAGCTAAGGACCTGTCACCTGCTTTGAAAATAGGTATCACATTTGCCATTTTCCACTTATCTGGCACCATGCCAGTTTGTAGTGATATGTTGAAAAGATTAGCCAAAGGTGTGCTAAGCTCCTCTTTACATTCCTTGAAGACATCTATCTAGAGGTCTATTGATAATCCCCCTTATATATGATGGGAGACTTGAATAGTCTTAGGCCCTTTACACATACACTTATTGTGTTGTCTGTAAGTCTACTCATGGCATCCCTGCTTTTCATTGGAGTATATCACATCGTCTGCTGAATCTTTTGCTTTCCTAGGAAGTGATTTCTGTGTGCAGATTTAGATTCTCCAGGTGTAAATTATGAGGCATCTTTTCGCCAGCATTTCAAGGAGTACGGGTCAAGGGGCTTCCAACGTTCCCAGTAATTGAGGGGTTTGACAGAACTTATATGTGAAATGAAAATTCTCAGTACATTCTCTAGATCAGCAATTTCTCCTGCTATTAGTATACAACATTATTCCAGCTTAAAGAGAAAAAGTGACAAAACGAATCATCATTGGCTTGGCATCCCTTGTTTGAAGGTTCTTACAATCTGTCTATCATTTTCTTCGCGGTTGTGATAATGATATTGTGATGCTTGAAGGTGAGATCCTCTGATATTATCAGTCCTAAGATAGTGACCACCTAACAAACTGCCAGACGAAAAATATGAAGAATAAGTCACAATACTGTCCGGAACAAATCACAACTAATTCTTAATTCGGAACGGAAACTTTAGAAATCTAAGGCACTCTAAAATTTGCTTTGTCTTAGTGTGGGTGTACTGCAAGCTATTCATGGCAGTAAGAGTCGAGTCACCACAGATACACCTATCATACTAATGATAACGCCTGTACACAGGGTTTTTATTTATAACACCAAGCTGATACAGAGGTTAGATAATTTTTTTAACACTCCAAGGTTCAGCAAGGATTACAGATGTTCATTTCTTATAATAAAGCCTCTTCTGGGGTTCTGGTTAGGTATTATGAGCATCTAGCTTAGGGCTCTCTAACCATGGTAATTGTGTACAAGATCTCCAGGATGTCGCTAGGGCGTTAAGCACCCACCTTGTATCCACACAGACCTTTCCCTGCATTCTAATCCACACCAGCCTGCCCACAACCCCGCTTCGCATCTTTTCCATCACTACCTCATCTCTCCCTTTCTGCATACAACCCCCGCTTTTTCATCCCCCCATCTTTACACAAAATTGTTGTTTTGA